GCGTCTTGCCAAACGCTCGGGAAGTATTTCTTCAAGTATTTCCCGTTGATTGCTCACTGAAAACGCTCCCCTTGAAGTGTCTCCAAAAAGTATGCGTTCCCTCGAACAATGCCGCACACTCGATAAGGACCCTCCCAACTAGGAGACCACTTACCGAACTCCTTGGATCGAGTACCCAAAGGCAAAATTGTTTTCCAAACCAAGTCTCCAACTTGAAACAACTTTGCTTTCACCCTCTTGTTGTACGCCTTGGCCACCCTCTTCTTCTCTTTCTCTATCTCTTCCAATGCCTTCAAGCGCTTGTCGATGACTTCATCAAGGTTGTCTCCCATCAACGTCTTGTAATCTTCACTTGACAAATCATCTTGCTTGATATAACGAAGAGAACCAAGATTTACCTCCACCGGTAAAACGGCTTCTTGACCATAAACCAACTCAAAAGGAGTGACTTTAGTGGCACCATGTCTAGAAATCCTATGCAGCCACAATGCTTCGGAAAGCACCTCATGCCACCTCTTTGGGTCTTCCTCAATCTTCTTCTTCACTAACTTCAGCAATGTCTTATTACTCGACTCGGCTTGTCCATTAGCCTGAGCGTACTAAGGAGAAGAACTCAACAATTTAATACCATAAGATTCGGTAAATCTCTTCACTTCCTTAGACATAAAATAAGCACCTTGATCCGTAGTTAATGTTTGTGGAATACCGAATCTATGGATAATATGCTTCAAAATAAAGTCAATTACCTCCGTATGAGTCATATTCTTCAAAGGCACGGCTTCGGCCTACTTGGTGAAGTAATCCGTAGCAACTAGCACGAACCTATGCCCCTTTGATGATGAAGGATAAATTTGACCAATGAAATCCAAAGCCCATCCTCGGAACGGCCATGGTTTGATTATGGGATTCAACACGGCGGCGGGTGCCAATTGAACATTGCCGAACCGTTGACAAGCCTCGCATCCTCTATAATATTTGAAGCAATCATCAATCATCTTCGGCCAATAGAACCCCGCTCTCCTAAGCAACCAATTCATCTTGTGGGCCGATTGATGAGTTCCACAAATTCCTTCATGTACCTCTCCCATAGCCACTTTAGATTGATCTTCATCTAAGCACTTCAACAAGACACCATCTATATTTCGGCGATACAAATCTCCATCAAGCAATGTATATTTGAATGCTTGCCGCCGAATTTTCCGATCAACCTTAAGTTTATGATCTTTCAAATATCGAATCAAAGGAATTCTCCAATCTGCTTCTGTTCCCTGGGTACAAATATCCGAATTCACACTTAATTCGGCCTCTAAATTGATTGAAACGTGCCCCCAGCGTTCTGCCCAGAACCGGTCAGACCGGCCACGCAAGGCCGGTCAGACTACTCGGGGTCGCTGGTCAGACCGGCAGCATGGGGCCGGTCAGACCGCCCCTAGTCACCGGTCAGACCGGCCGTGCAATGCCGGTCAGACCACCGCTGGTCTCCAGTTTTGCCAATTTCGCACAAAGATTTAAAATCAAGCACCGGCTCTTCTAATCTCAGAAATAATCCCTTCTTCACATGATAGCCAGATGCTTGTTGTGCCAAGTCATTTGCTCTAGAATTATCATGCCTAGCAATATGTCTAATAGCAAAATTATCAAAATTGGCAATAATATCTAAACATGAATTGAGGTACCTATTTAGTGATCCGTCCAAGCATTTGTAGACTCCGGCGACTTGTTGCATCACCAATTCCGAATCACCAAAAGCCTCCACGTATTTAGCTCCAACCATCTCCATAACTTGTAAGCCGAATAATAAAGCATTGTATTCAGCTTGATTATTTGTACAATAATACTCCAAACAAACCGATGCTTCATAACACATGCCTTTAGGTGAAAACAAAACTACCCCTATGCCTTGACCTTCTTTGCAAGAAGAACCATCAAAATAAATCTTCCAAGGTATAACTTTAACTAAGCAAACCTCTCCCTCATAAGCAATATCTATATGATGGTCTACTATAAAATCACATACAATTTGGCCTTTCATAGATTTCAATGGTTCATAAGCCAAATCATATTCTATCAAAGCATATGCCCACTTGCCAATTCTTCCACTTAGAATTGGGCTTTGCAACATGTGTTTAATAACATCGACTTGGCAAGCAACTATGCATGTACTAGATAAAAAATAATGCCTCAATTTGGTACAAGCATAGTATAAGCATAAACAAAGTCTCTCTATAAAGACATTCCTCGTTTCAGCATCCAAAAGACGGTGGCTCAAATATGTAATGATATATTCCTTGCCATCTTCCTCTTGCGTCAAAACGGCACCAATGACTTTGTCTTCGGAGGCAATATATAACCGAAAAGGCTTTCCGGCTTTAGGCGCTCGCACAACGGGTGGAGTAGACAAATATCTCTTCAACTCTTCAAACGCCTCTTGTTGTTTTGCCCCCCAAGTGAAATCGGCTTCCTTTTTCAAACGAATTATAGGAACAAAAGCATCAATTTTACCCGCTAGGTTAGAAATAAATCTCCTCAAATAATTCACCTTACCTAGGAACTTCTGAACCTCCTTCTTGCATGTCGGCGCTTTGAAATCACGAATCTTTTCTATCTTCTTAGGATCAATCTCAACTCCTCTCTCATGCACTATGAATCCTAAGAACTTCCCCGCCGACACACCAAAATCACATTTAAGTGGGTTCATCTTTAAACCATACCGGCACATCCTCTCAAAAGCTAACCTCAAATCGGCTATGTGTCCTTCCATACCATCCGATTTGACAACAATATCATCAATGTAGATCTCTAAGATAATACCTAGCAAATCATGAAAGATCAAATTCATTGCCCTTTGATATGTTGCACCGGCGTTCTTCAATCCAAAAGTCATAACAACCCACTCAAATAAACCAACAAATCCCGGGCACCTCAAAGCCATTTTGTACATATTCTCTTCTGCCATAAAGATTTGATTGTAGCCGGCATTACCATCTAGAAAGCTAATCACCTTATGACCCGAGGCATCATTAATCATCATGTCGGCTATAGGCAAAGGATACTCATCTTTGGGAGTGGCTTTATTTAAATCTCTAAATTCTATGCAAACTCTAATCTTACCACTCCCCTTCTTCTCCACCGGGACTATGCTAGAAACCCACTCCGCATAACGACATGGCCTAATAAACCCCGCCTTCAACAACCGATCAATCTCCTCTTTGACTCGGTCATATAGCAAAGGATTAAAACGACGAGGTGGTTGCTTATAAGGCCTAAAACCCGGTTTAATTGGAAGCCGATGCTCAACAAGCTCACGGCTAAGACCCGGCATCTCACAATATTCCCATGCAAAGCAATCAACATATTCTTTAAGTAGCTAGATTATCTTAACCTTATAATCGGCTCTCATATTTTTGTTTACAAAAGTCGGCCTTGGTTTAGTTCCATCACCTATGTCTACTTCCTCCAATGGATCGGCCGATGTAAACCCTTCTCCAAGCTTTTCCACTTCATCAAAATCTTAAACAGTTTCACCAATATCGTTCTTTGTAGACCGATATTCTTGCACCCTCTTTTGTAACCACTCTAAATTAGCCTCCTTACTCATTATACAAATTTACATGGCTTAGCCGTGTGACACTAGCCGGCTTTACAGAGATAGGTACAAATTTGCCATCGGAGATACTAATAAAATCATAGCTAGAAAGATCCCTCCCCGATAAGCATTGGATATTCCCATGACGCCACTCAAAAGTAGCATCGGCCATTGCAACCTCAGCCGATGTATCCGCTTGAACAATTTCAACATCATCGCCGTCCCATTGAATTAAACATTGATGCAAGGTAGAAGGCACACAACAATTGGCATGAATCCAACAACGACCCAAAATAACTTTGTAGTTACCTTGTACATCGACGATGAAGAAAGCGGTTGGTAGCGTCTTGTTTCCCACGGTGAGCTCCGCCGAAAAGATACCCTTTGCCTCCGTTGGTTCACCATTGAAGCCATTGAGAATCATGTTGGTCTTCTTCAACTCATCATCCTCACGCCCCAACTCCTTGAATAATGAGTACGGCATCAAGTTAACGGCGGCACCTCCATCCACTAGCATCCTACAGACCGGCTTCCCATCAACATGTCCTTTGAGATAGAGAGGCTTCATGTGACGGTTTGACTCATCGGGCTTCTCAAAAACCATGTCTTTAGGACCCAATGAAAATTGAGCAACCTCGGCTTCATCCATAGCACAAAACTCCATAGGCAACATACATACCATATTGATATCCATGTCTTCTTTTGGAGATGATTCACCTTTATCAACCGATTGCTCCTCCTTCTCCTCTACAACAATCGGTTTTTCCTTCTCTATGGATTTATGCCTCCATACCGGTGGTGGTCGCAACTCATTGAACCTTTTATCTCTTTGCTCTTCACCTTTTTTCTCTCTTATCTCTTAAGCCCGAAGACGTTGCAACCTTCTCTTTTGAGTAGCCGTTAAATCCTTAGGCATCCACCTAGGATTCGGCTCTGTTCTAGGAGGTAAATAATGTCCTCTATTGATTTTGCTTGAAGACGATGAAGCCCTCACATCGCCCTTTGCAATTCTCCTATCAAACCGGTCCTAGAGCCCGGTCAGACCGGCCAGATGCGCCAGTTAGATCGACATTTGGCGCACGGTCAGATCGGCCTGAGGCGTCGGTTGGACCGTCGTCGGGTCGGCGGTCAGACCGGCCGTATGGTTGCGGTCAGACCGGCCAGGGGGCCTGGTCAAACCTGTAATACCCCGAGTTTTAAATTAATATATCTCGCGGAATATTAGAGCAAACGCGCAAAAGTTCAACTTTTAAACCATTGTTCGTATAGGCGATCGGGAACCGTGGATGCGTAGAGCTCGCCGAGCAGTGCAAAATAGACTATAAATTTATAGTAATCGGAGTCCGAACGAAGTCCCGAGGATTGAATAGATGTGAGCTGTTAGATCTTATTTAGTCTCTTTATATAACCAACCAAAAAAAACAAACGAAAAAAAAAGAAACAGGAGCGATTCTCCTGTAGCCCTAGCCGCCGCACCTCCTGCGCTCTGCCGCTGCCGCTGCTGTTCCTCTCTTCGCCGGCGCCGCCGCTGGTGCAGCCGTCGCCGGTCGCCACAACCGTCGTCGTCCGCAGCCGGTCGTTGGTGAGCTACTGTTGCTTCTGTTAATTTCCCTGCTGCTGCCGAACCCTGCTGTTGCCGATCTGATCTCTTCCTTGCTGGTCGTGCACGGCTTGCTGTTGCTGCCGATATTCGTTTCTGCTGCTGCTGCTGTTGGCCTGCAACGAACAGGAAGGACGGAGAGAAGGCAGAGAAGAACAGGAAGGAAGGAAAGAAGGGGAAATTTGATAGAAGAAGGGAAATTTGGGGAATTTGGTGAATATTTCCAAATTCTTCGTTTTTCTTATACATTAGTACTGCTAGGTAATCCGTTTTAGTCTATAGTTGTTTCTAATTTATATTTAAGGCGATCTGTTTCCGGTTTTTTCGAATTTATTTTATATTGAACGCTAGGCTGAAACCGTATTTTCAAATCTGGTATTAAACCATCAGGAATCAGGTTAGTTGTCCTAAATAAAGTTTGTAGTCATTGTCAATATCTTTCCAACGGTACTAGTTTCACTCGATTCCGATAAACGGTTTAGGAGAAACAGCAAAAACAGTACTGCTGACCGGGTCCAGAAATCAGGACAGCAGTTCGTTTTTCCTTAATCTGGGATTTTCAGAGGCATAATCTGTTTTTTGCTCAACATGAAAGTTGTAGACAATTTTGTCTAGATGTCCGAAGTTGTATTATTTGCTAGTTTCCGTTAGACGGTTTGTGAGTTACTCATAAAACAGTAATGGAACAGCTATAGGTTATTTAATACAAATCGGTAAAAGGTTTATATGTTCTAGGTTTCGATTTTAGTAAATATCCCTTGTAACCATCGTTAGTTGAATATAGTGATTTATGCGTAGTTTTGCTCCACAGGTGTGGAGTGTTCCAACGTTGGAGGAGTTGAGTCGGAGTATCGAATGAGTTAAGGCAAGTACAAGACGGACTTATGTGATGGACAAAACTGAGTTGTTTTGTTTGGCTTTACTTGCATAATTATTATTCAATTGCTTGTTATTACTGATTGTATGGCTATGACGTTATGCTACTTATTCGTGTTTCGACCCATATTCAAATTCATGACGTTATTCATGTTTCATTATTCCGGATGTTCTGTTTACATTATTCAAGAACCATGCGTAGCCATGGGAGTGCAATTTGGATCTTTATTCATGATCCTTGAGAAGCGCTGATCACGCTTGCTCGGCTTACCGGTAATGCTAAGAGGATATTCACACCTGCCCGGGAGGGAACTACTATCTTTTGACTTCTTTGGTTTAAAAATAAAGTAAATCCAACCCTTCATGTTGGTTTCTTAATGCATAAATCATGCGTATGTTTTACTAGTTCAAGATTGTACTTGCTGAGTATTCTTTACTCACTCTGGTGTTTAATTTGGTTTTTAGGTACCTAATGACATCGATCGGCATGGGGCGGGAGTAGCACCCTTGGACTACACATTATTATTGCACACAATTGAAATTAGTTTTAGACTATAATTTTTGCTCAGCATAAGTTTTGCATAGAACTTGTAAAGGTCATTTAAGGTTCTGATCCTTATTTTTCACGTGGGATTTGTGGAGCTAGGATGGTTTGGATTGTGTGGTTTATATCGGTATTGACCTTTCTTATAACTGCCTGTCGTGATGTCCGTATTTTTAGGGGAGACTCTGCCGAAATTTCTAATAATTTTAGGACTTAGTTTTTGAGTGTATTTTGGTGTGGCATTCTAGATACGTGGTTACCTGGGGTGTTACAAAACCGGCCGACTGCGATGAGCTGGTACCGGCTTCGGACTTTTTGCTTGAGGACTCTCCAACTTCATCTCCAGAAGATATTGGCACATCATGAGACCCCACTTTGATGGTAATTACTTCCGAAGTCCTTGCCTCCACCTCCCTTCCCTCCTTTCTTCATTAGCCCGGTTCCTACCATAAAACCGGCCATTGTTTGGTGAAGCCAAACGCTCATGAATTGGCCTTCTTGGTCCTCCCCACCCTTGGTTGAATTGCATTGGAGGTATATGGTTGAACATTGGCGGTGTTGCCCCCAATGGCATATAATAAGGATAAGGATAACCCGGCGGCGGCATTGAATAAGAACTCCATGACATGTCTTGTGGATGATGATATGGAGGTGAATGCGATCGTCTCGGTGAATGACCAAATCGCTCCCTAGGAGGTGATCTTGGTCTTTTTCCTTTGTTGCGAGCCTTCTCACCACCTTGCTTCTCATACTTCTTCAAAAGCATATCAAAAGTCACTTTGGTCTTCCTAGGGGCTTTAGAAGTTGAAGCTTCATTCTTATTCTCCTTCCAAACACCATCCTCCGGCTTCTTTGGCACTATCATCTTAGGTCTTGGCTCGCCAATGACCACTCATTTTCCTTTAGTAGATTCGGCTTGCTCCGGCCGAATCAACACCTTCTTATCATTGAAATTAATCGTATTCACCGGAAAAGGATCATGATCAAGCTTCATCTTGGAGCCATCGGTGAACTTCAATCGTCCTTCATCTATGCCCGATTGAACCTGTCGTCAAAACACATTGCAATCATTAGTAGAATGAGAATGAGAATCATGCCATTTACAATATGCTCGACGTTTTAACTCTTCTTGAGATGGTATGACATGGCCTTTAGGTAATCTAATTTGTTTCTCTTGTAAAATATAATCAAAAATCTTATCACACTTAGCCACATCAAAACTATATTTAACCTCACTTTGCTGATTTTTGCGAGGAGTCGGCATTAGGTTAGAGCAAACAAAAGGCTTGTTTTTGTTAGTCCATGACCATTCAGCAACATATATATCATGATCACCCTCCTCTTCACTATCACTAGCCTCAGGGTAATCAATCACATTAACATTAGGCTTTTTGTCATATGATCTAACAAGTTTTTTATTATCCTTAACCCAGCTTTCTTGAGCTAGAGCCCTTTGCATAAGTTGACTAACATCAAGAAATTGTTGGCCATCTAGTCTTTCTCTAAGAGGAGCAATTAAACCCTTAAAGGCAAGAGAAGCCAAATCTCTATCAGTTATATTCAAACTATAACATCGGTTTCTAACATCCCTAAATCTCTTAATATAATCAATGACAGGATCATTATACTTTTGCTTAACCGATGTTAAATCACATAACCTAAGCTCAGTTTCTCCAGTATAGAAATAATCATAAAATTTTTCTTCTAATTGAACCCAAGTATGAATAGAATTTGCCGGTAAAGAAGTAAACCATGTAAAAGCATTACCGGACAAAGATAAGGAAAACAAGCGCAATTTAAAAGTATCACTATTAGCCTCACCACATTGCGCTAAAAATTGACCTACATGCTCCCATGTGGTCTTATCATCTTCACCACTAAACTTGGTAAATTCGGGAACTCTATAATTACGGGGAAACGACAGAATATCATAATAATCAGGATACGGCTTTTTGTAAACCCTAGCACGATTCCTAGTTTTAATCCCGAATCTATTCCTAATAATCTCACTAATTATATCCTCCATGTTATTAGGCCCATGTTGATTTGGCGGTGGATTTGGTGGCCTAATAGGTTGTTTCTGTGGCGCAATATGATTATATTGGCCTTGTCTATTATCGGGAGGATACCCCCTAGCAACATCATTATAAGCATTAGGAACATGTGGGGGAACTTGGGGACTATTTGCAGCACTAGATACAGGAGGATCAAATGTTCTAAGATGATACAAATAACTAGCATTAGTCATTGGATCTATTCCCTGTATCGGTGTAATCGCGCCGGTCTGACCGGCCCAGGGCCCGGTCTGACCGCAGGGGTAATACCCGGTCTGACCGGCCGTTTGACCGGTCGGACCGACGGCTAAGTCGCGGTCTGACAGGCCATCAGGCCCGGTCAGACTGGCCGTGTGCGCCGCTCCATCGGTTTTACTACCCGTTTGATCTATAGGAGGTTGGTTAGCAGTGGTAGAGGCTTTATCCTTTGACATGTAATCGGCCATAAGAGGGCCGAATTTAACCCTTAAAAACTCATCAAATTTACCCTCAAAAGTTGCATCTAACTTATCTTTAAAAGCAATCATAGATGAATCTATTGTAGATGCTACTTGTTGTTGGATAGATTGTGTTACCTCATAATTGCTTACCAAATCGGGGGCGAGCTTAGGACATGGCCCGGGCTTGATGATCACGCCTTGACGAGTCCTAGTGCTTGCCCTCATCAACGCCTCCCGTGTGAGTTCGTTGATGTACTCCTCCATAGCTTTGCGGTCTTCTCCTTCGAAATCCTCCAATGTGACCGGTATCACATTGGATGGCTCCACCTCCGTCTTGGATGGCGGCTTCGTCATGGCGAAGTCGAAGTTGAGTTGACGATGAACGGATCTCCTCCCCAGCGGAGTCGCCAAAAATCGTGTTGGCAACTTTTTTGACAAGTTGACAAGCACGATCGCAACACCTTAAGCCTTGCGCCATGTCCCTTATATAGGGGTTGGTCTTGCCTTCTACAAGCCCTCCTCCACGTCCAACTCGGGATAGAAACTAAAGGAAACCCGAAACATGCCTTCCCGAGCAAGGAAACCTCGAGACCCGACGAAACACAGTCGGACTCAGACCTGCCGGTCAGACCGGCCACATACCGCCGGTCTGACCGGCCCTGAACCAGCGGTCTAACCGCCCAACACACGGCAGTCAGACCCGCCCACTCGGAGGAAACCGGTAGATTTCCAAATTTTGGCAATCTTTCCTATTTTAATCCTAGGTGCCAAATTTGGGTGTAAACAAATATATCCACATATCATCTCATAAGAAATATCCGCATATCAACTTCTAACAACACAAAGACCCCGAGATCGATTGACATCCATATACAAGAACAAAATCATATAATCACAAATTCACATAACACATAGTCATAGAGGGGGATCAGAATGAAAGAACATAGAGAGAGGATCCAAGAACACCATTGCCATTACTTCTTGCTGCGGTGCAGTTTGCCTGCCTGCCCTCCATCGCCAATCCCTCCCGCACCACTCGCCATGTGGATTCCCCCCGCTCCCCAAAGCTCGTGGTGGCCAGATCTGACCACCAACAAGATCATGATTGCCGGATCTAGCCATCCTTGAGCTCGTGGGAAGGTAGGACCAAAGGAAGGTTGTCATCACTATGAGGAGGAGGGCACCGCCGAGGAGGTCACTCCCGTCGTGGGGAGAGCGGGACTGCCGAGGCGCCGCCATAAGGAAAGCAGCATCGCGGAGGAGAAGGCACCCTCAACGAGGGGCGAGTGTCACGTGCCACCGTCTCGGAAGAGAAAGAAAGCGGGGTGCAAGGCACCTAGGAGAGAAAGAGAGTGAAGGAAGTGAGAGAGGGTGCCTCCGTCGAGTCTGAGAGTGAGAGAGAGAAAGAGTGAGGGGAGGAGAAGGGTGAAGAGATGAGACTTTAGGGTGTCGGTTTTAAACACAAGTTTCTTATATGTAGGTTTTTTTAAAAAAACTCGGTACATATAACTTGGCAACCTTATATATGTCAGTTTTTTTAAGAACTAGTAGACTAATGGTTATTAATTTTATCCTTATATAGAGGTTCAGATGGATGGGAAGTCATATATGTGCCTGTTAAATAAACTAGCACATATGAGGGTATTCCCTAGAGGTTATGTAGTAGTGATAATTTTATTTATAGTGGTGACAAATCATGGTTATTGTTGTGATGGAGGGAGGGAAAATGAAATTCGATCGCTGAAGAGGCATGGAAAAGAAGGTGTAAAAATCTGCTGCTTTAGTTAGTTCTCTTAATAATGAACCATTCTAAGTCAATGATCTACATATGAAAAATTCACAAAGTAGTAATCCCAAGTCAAATAATTCCTCTCGTCACTTGTCCTATTAACTTCTCCAATAGAATACAAGCCCACTAGACTGCCACCTGGCATATACAATTGATCCCTGCACTGTGCGCTGATGACTTGGCATCTGACTCATCAGATCCGGCTGCTGACGTGTCTATATGCTACTGGATGGCCAAAGATGGGGCAAATGGGGATTGAGAAAGAGATCATGCCTGCATTTTGTTTATGCAATGTTCCATGATTCTATTTGTCCCTCCAAGATTAAAAATACTGATCTCATGGACTCATGGCTACGCATCAATGCTAATGACAGGTCACTAGAAAAAAATTATTAGTACTACTAGAAGGGAGGAGAAAGCAGCAGACACTTTTCTTGCAAATATTCTAGATTAGGATAAAACAGAAAGAAGTGTTCTAGATATTGCGATTGGAAGGTTAAGATTTAAGATATGAGTTAGTTGATGAATAGTAAGTTGCATATCTTTTAATCTATAGTATGATGTCCATGTTCTTGGAAGCTAGGGCATATATTCTATATTTAGGGCCCTTTTGATTTGGAGAAAAAATATAGAAATTTTCGAGGATTTTAATCCTATTGAAAAATTTCCTATGAAACACTTAAACTATTCAATCCTTTGAAATTCCTATGGTATATAGACAATTCTATAGAAATTTTAGAGTAAATTTAGCAAGAGCTTCAACCTCTTGGTAACTTTCCTTTGAGTCTATTTTTCTCTTCCAATTTTTTTGTTTTTCCTACGGTTCAATCAAACGGTAATTCTTGTATTTTTCTCACGTTTTGTAATTTTCTGTTTTACACTTATATTCCTATCAAAATTCTACGTTTTCTCAATCCTACGAGTCAAAGGGGCACTTACTTTTCTT